TTTGGGTAAAAAACCCAAGAATGGGTAATATTGTGTGAATAAGACCTTCTGAAATGGTTAAGAATATGCTTTCAGTTATTACCTGAATGAGCAGAACCTCTCATATGAATTGTAATATTGCCTGTAAGAGATAACTGCATGTGCATGTGATATCTGGGATATGAATTGATCCATTCATCTCTCTTTACGAAAATAGTATTGTTCTATAATTTGCAGCTATTCCCAAACCTCGAAAAAGTGGTTTTCCTGGACGATGATATTGTAATCCAACAAGACTTGTCTCCTCTTTGGGAGATTGACCTTAACGGAAAAGTGAACGGAGCTGTTGAGACTTGCAGAGGTGATGACGAGTGGGTTATGTCCAAGAGATTCAGAAACTATTTCAACTTCTCTCACCCACTTATCTCAAAGAACTTAAATCCTGATGAATGCGCATGGGCATATGGGATGAATATATTCGACTTACATGCATGGCGAAAGACAAATATTAGAGACACTTATCACTCTTGGCTCAAGGAGGTAAATAAAGTATCTACCTAAAATAATTCTGCCACTTGTATCATCTGTTAATATTGCTTTGCCATTTTTTTTCATAATTGCGAATTGATCTCTTTCAGCCAACCGGAGAAAAAAAAAAGCGATTTCCTTTTTACCTTATTTGACGACGTGGATTTACGCAGAATCTGAAGTCAAACCTCACATTATGGAAGCTTGGGACTTTACCTCCAGCGTTAATAGCATTTAAGGGCCACGTTCACCCTATAGATCCCTCATGGCACATGCTTGGGTTGGGCTATCAGAATAAGACCAACATTGAAAACGTGAAGAAGGCAGCCGTGATTCACTACAATGGTCAATCCAAACCATGGTTGGAGATTGGTTTCGAGCATCTAAGGCCATTCTGGACCAAGTACGTTAACTATTCAAGTGACTTTGTAAGGAATTGCCACATCCTGGAGTAGCAATTAGCCGACACATTTGCACCAATTATACGATGAGATGAAGCATAACAGGTTATTGCTCATAAAGTCTCTTTTGGGAAGGATTATTTATCAAATTTTGATGATAATGTGAGGATGTGAGAGGATCTCAAATTCGTTGCAATCTGTGAAATGCAAAAATATGGTTCATGGGCCCTGGTTTTGGAGGAAAGGAACTACATGGCTATGCTGGGCGTGACGTGGGATTCATTCTTTTTCGTCTGTAAAGTAACATTTTTTCATCTATTCAAGTTTATTTTCTTTTCTTTTGATATCGATCGGTGGTAAGTCTCACTTATGGCTTGGTGCTTATAAAGGAAACCAATGGTATAATGTGTTCTGAAGGGATATCATATCTGGTGCACGGGTAAGAACAGAGCTAGGATGCGCAGGTCTACTGGCAAGACTTCCCACTGGTCGACCCCATTGGCCGAATTGATTATTTTTTTTCCCTTTTTGTTATTTTTTACCTTTTTTCACCATTTATATTTTACTG